TAAGTGAAAACAAACTATAAATGTTAAAAATGAACAAAAACTATAAAACCATAAATATGCATGTTTTACTTGAAGGCAACAGAAATTCCTAATACTTGACTGTCATTTCCATTTATCACAGGAAAAAACTACAGAAAAGCAGCTTTAAAAAGTATTTTTTAGGATTTTTGTGGGATGCTAAAATAAATACTCAATAAATACAAATTACACATTTTCTGGAATGTTCCAAATACAGTTTACCTGTAAGTAGACACCTGTCACTCATGCCATGTGTAGAATTTTAGGCTTTTTTATTTCAATACGTTGTGTATTGTTTTAGATAAACCTGTTTTAGGACTGCAGGGTGGGTCTGTGGTGAGCACAGTTGCCTCGCAGGAAGAAGGTCACCGGTTCGCGTCCCGGTGAGGACACCCGGGATCTTTCTGCGTGGAGTTTGCATGTTCTCCCCGTGCAGCGTGGGTTCTCTCTGGGTTCTCCAGCTTCCTCCCACAGTCCAAAAACATGTTGAGGTTCATTGGTGATTCTAAATTGTCCGTTGGTGTGAATGTGAGTGTGCTTGGTTGTCTGTCTCTAAGTGTAGCCCTGTGATAGACTGGCGACCTGTCCAGGGTGTCTCCTGCCTTCACCCTAAGTTGGCTGGGATAGTCTCCAGTCCCCTCGCGACCCTAGTGAGGATTAAACGGTGTATAGATAATGGATGGATGGATAAACTTGTTTTAACTTAAGTTTTGGCCAAACTTATTTATTTATTTTATTTAACCTTTACTTTACCAAGGAAGTTAGTTGAGAACTGGTTCTAATTTTCAATAACTACCTGCAAGTGGTGGCATACAAACAAGAAACAGTCCTCAAGCTGGTCAGAAACACGATTCGAGAGTCATCTCACATGTTCTATCCAGAATGTCTGCTACTCCTGGCTGGTGGGCGACTCCAAGGGTGAGATAGTACGACAAGAAATATTTAGTTCCTTTGACTAAGAAGGTTTTGAACTGTAATATTAATAACATGACTGTATGAATATTATCAGTGTGTTTGTCTTGTGATGTTGCTGCACTTGAATGCTCATTGGGGCAAATATTGTATATCTGATCTGATCACTTTTGGGGCAAAAAAGATGTAAACACAAAACTAACATATAATCAAGTTACTACAGTGAACGTGTTTACAAACAGTTGCCTATGTACACATCCAGCAGACATCGAGCAACATTAATGTGACAGCTTGATGAATTATAGTGCAACATTCACTCTCCTGAAGGAGCTATCTAGTTCTGGAGCTGCTAAGTGCTCCCCTAGTTTGAACACCTGATTGCTGACTTTGTCTTCTGTAGAGGCTTATAATGGGGCCATCAGTGTACTTGGAAAGAAACAGCTGCCTGCTGCATCTGGAAACAACACTGATAAGAGTAATGATGAACAAAAATGTAATGTCACTGATTCCAAAATCAGAGATGATGGTCATCTGAACAATAGGTGTTATAGAAAATATGTGTTGATGATTGTCGCTTTAAGTAACAACAGTCACACACTAATGCATTAAAAGCAGCTGATTACAGATTTCCTTTTGAAATTCCTACAACAGAGTTACATCGGCGTTTCACATCTGGAACTTGCTTAACTTAAAAAAAGCAGGTTGGAAGAATGGTTGCTGTAGTGATCAGATTCCAGGAGACAACCTGCACCTGGACAGAAGGGTTTTTTGGGGGTTTTTTGTTTTTTAATACAAGGTATTTTAGTGATTGCATTGCATTGGAATTTTACATTTTTCAATTTGTGAACGTCTCGGATCGAGAGTGCCAGTTTTGTTTTTTTTTGTTGTTTTTTTTCTATTTGCCAAATCATTACAGCATCATAGACCTACAGTATTTGTACAACTAAAACTCATTCACATGATGGCATTTAATGAACATGAACATAAACTAGTAACTTCAAAGAAGACAGACTAAGTTTGGTTTGAGGGTTGTTGAACCTCTTTTTGTTAAGCAACGTGCTAAAAACAGTGATTTGCTTTGTAAGACAAATTAGCACTGACTTGAACATACACACACACACACACACACACACACACACACACACACAGACTCACACACACACATACCCACATGCACGCACACACACAGTAGCTGTATTTCAGATGCAAGTAGTTTGTGTTCTCATCTACTTGTTGATCTCCTATGGAGTTGGAGAGGCCTGGTAATAACAGACAAACAGGAAGAGAACCATCATAAATGTAGAGATCAAACACACACACACACACACACACACACACACACACGCACAGAGACTTGGCTGTAACTCCAGTCCCATGGTTCTCTCTTCAGCAGTGAGCTCATTAAAATGAGCAAGGCGACCCCTCTCGTCCTCATGCTCTCTCATCTCTCCTCCATCTCTTCCTCTCTCATTTCTTTCCCAAATCATCCTTTCCTTTCCACAGAAAATATCACACACTCACTCTATTCATTAGCTTTACTCGCTCCTTATGTCAGTTTCAAGATCCACTCACTGATTTGGGAATTGATTACATTGTCAGCACACACAGTTGAAAATACCGCTTCAGTTGAGCAACTGATCGGCATGCATGGAGTACACTTGTATATTTTAAGTATGTGTGTTTGTGTCTATGAATGTGTGTGTTTGGGGGAGGGTGGCTCTGCTTTATTGAATGGTTGCCGGGTAGAACAGGAGGCGTGTGGGAGGAATTTGTTAATTATGAATGGAGGACTTCTCTCTGGATGTGAACAACACAGTGTAAGTGTTTGTGTGTACGTGTGGTTCAGTGTTTGTGAGTGTAGCGGTATGTGGTAGCATATGTGACTATATGCCTCGTGATCATTTTAATCAGAGGGTTGTTGATTTGAATCTGCAGACTGGCTGATGAGGAAATGAAATGAGCAATTACGATTGAGGTGCTCATGAGCAAGGCGTTCCAGAGTGATCAGTCCAGGCAGCACAGGGTTGCTCTGTTTCCAATTAGAACAGAGAATGTCCCACACAGATTACATGAAATTATATGTAATAGATAGCACAGATTAAACACACACAGCATAAAGCTCCGTCATTGCTTGTCACTTCGGTAACCAATAATTATGCATTCAAAGCTATGTTGTCCTATTAAATGTCAGTAGTTTTAGCATTAACAATGTTTGGTACCGGAGCAGGTAGTAGTATGCCCTTTTTATGAAGCAATTAAGGCAGAAAATAAAGATGCTGAGTGGGATGTCTGACTTCATTCAGGAAACTTGAGTTTGTGTTTCATCTTTTTTTTTTTTTTTTAAATGTATGTATTTATTTTTAATGTAACTGTAATTAAAATCTTTCCCAACCTGTAGCCTCAGTGACTGGACCTTTTGGTTACCCCCACTTACATGTTCTGTCAGTTTTTACAAAGTTCATATAAGGTGACCAAAGGGTGACAGCCATACCAGTGGCTCTGTGAGGCTGTGTTTGGAGACAGCCAAATGCCAACCTCAGCATGTTAACTTGCTCATTATGATGGTGCTAACATGCTGATATTTAGCAGGTGGCTGTTACTGTGCTCCCCTGCTTAGGAAGCATTTTGCTGTGCTGTCATGTCATAACTAAACACTCAGTGCAACAGACACTGATTGGAATGTCATTGTTTGGCATTCAGTCATAAAGAACAGATTTTAGCACTAGATTAGGGTGTGTAGAAGGATCACCACAGTTCTCGATTGATCATTCAGAAAACATTTGTTTCTGGAACAATGTTCCAGACATATTATAGGCTTGGTAGAATTAACAATCTGTACCGTTTTTTGAGCAGTTTGAGAAATTTGAGACAAACCCTCTGGGGACATGTTAGACTTACATTAACTTGTTTCAAAGCAGTTTTTCTGGTGGCACCGATGGAACAGATTGAGCATCACCAAAGATATTACAATGCATCCTCTGGTGACCTGGCAAGTCCATGCAAATCTTTTATCTGTGTTCTATGTGGTAAATGTAGATAAGATGTTTTTCTGTTTTGATAAGTAAATGTACTTTTTTTTAAAATTTAGTTATAAATTACTTTGTTGGCAGATTTGAAATTTGAGTATTGTCAAAGCAAATTGTACATTTATGTTGGAAGTTTAGATAAACATTGCTTTTTTAACCTTAAATTTACATCCTATTCATTCTGGAAAACTCTCAATAAATCATCTTTCATACACTGGATCAATTTTGGATGAAAATATTAATCTGGAGCATAACATTTTGGAATAACGCTGCTCCTCCCTCTGCACTCACCACATTTTCCTGTGTAAGCCTGTGTAAGCCCTTATGATAAACAGTGTCTCTTGAGGAAATCCCATTTGGCTGCTGTTTAATCTGAATTTTCCAGTGTGTACGTTTCAGTGGCAGTAGTGATTATGGTATTCTCGAGGCACTGTATACTGTATAAGCCTTAACTCTGCTGGAAAGTCTTTAAGCACATCGCATGAGAGTGAATCTATAATCACGTTTCTCGTGTTTGCTTTCCACCTGTACTGTGGCAGCAGCAGCTCTGAGCACCTTGTTTGGAAGTTAGTGGTGTCTGCCATCGCTTAAACTGATTTAAACTCTGGGGTCAGCTTTTTCCACACAGACCTACTACCTTAAAATAGATGGGTGTTTACAGCAGCAGGTTAGCTGCTCACGAAACTGGGTCTCTGGGCTCTGGCTCTCACACAAACACACACTCACGAGACACGACTTTATTTGGATGAAACTGGGAGTGTGTGCACTATATGCAAGAAGTAAATAGGGTTCCTGTGTAAATACAGACTTTTTGTAAAAGAATACAAAACCCCTGTAGTTGCTCATCTGTTTGAAAGATAGAATGCCTTTACTTTACACAGAACACTAACAGCTTTCATGTAAATATTGGTCACAGCTTTGTGATTTACATGTGTGTGGAATGAAAAAGAGCCTTTTGTGGTGACTATGCAGTGAGGCTGTTTTGTATCATCTCTATGTGTGGGCATGTGTCACATTATGATTCTGGCTGTTTTGTGTTTCAAGGGGCAACCAGAGATATTGGTTCGGCTCTGACCAGGATGTGCATGAGACATCGCAGCATTGAGGCCAAACTTCGCCAGTTCACCAAGTAAGAAACATGCTTTCAACTGTCTTCTCCCTCTCACTGTTTCTGTCTTTATACTCCTTCCTTTGCCTGGTTTACTTCATTTGCTGATCTTACACTGCAACCCGTCAGGGTTTCCCATGAGTCATAAAATGGTAAACATTGTGACTGTTTCCATCTAAAGCTGACCTTGTTTTAGGAAGTATGATGGGACACATGTTTGTTGAGGTTTTTCTGTGGGCTGTATGGATTCCATTAGGAACATTGCTCTGTCTGTACATATTTAAATGACTCTAAATAAATACAAGCATTGGCACGCAACACAGACCACTCCGGAAACCTCACCAAGAGTCTGTTTTCAACCATTGTTTGCCTTTTCCTTCATTCTTCATACTTTCTAATGTCTTTTCCACAGCAAAATCTATTACATTGATGGTGATGATAATGATGATCTAAAGTTGTGGTAATGACAGGGGGTTTTCTGAAGACTGAATCAAACTCAGAGCTTTGGTGTTTGTGTCTCTACAGTATGTATATACTCCAATAATGCTGCATTTACCTTACGTACAAGCATTTGTATCACACATGTATGCATGGATAGAGAGGAGGACAGTGTTCCAGATACCAAAATTATGAAGTGAAACAATTAGTAAAGGGAATTTATATAAAAGTCTTATTCCAGAAATATACTGTATCTGTACTGTGTCTTTTTCAGTGGGGCTCAGAGGTGAGAATATTAGGATTGCTTTAGTTCAGACTAAATCAGTCTCTTGTCAAGACATCACACATTGGAAATATGTGCCATAGGGGTGATTTTCAATGAGAAATCTTTTCTCATTCTCATTCTCTTTCTCTGTTATCGGCATTGTGCCTCATCAGTTTTATAATGCACGTATCTTCGTCTTTCCTACAGTGCTTTGATGGAGAGTCTGATCACTCCTCTCCAGGACAAGATTGAAGACTGGAAGAAGACAGCCAACCAGCTGGATAAGGATCATGCCAAAGGTACACACGTCACAGGTTATGATGCTAATTCATGAAACCACAGTAAGAACTGCAAGTTCTAGCCTCACATCCTCCCTGCTGAAGTAGCTTCAGTACACATGAAGTGGACCTACTACTGTGCTCTGTGACCACTGTAAAGATCTGACACAAGATAAGAGGGACACTTCTTTGATCAGTGTAATCTTGCTGAAGATTCCCTAATTGTCAATTAGCAAGAACAATCATGTCGCTAATCTCAAAAGAACTGTTTCCATCACGTCCCATTATCTACTCACACCATTAAATAAAAACACTGCACTAAAGAATACGTGAATACTACACAGGACTCTTGCACCGTGCACAGTTTCTTTTAACACTGTGATGCAGGATTTACAACTGTTAAATGTTACTGTCACAACAATCATGAGATGAACTGTAGAAGTTTATGTTACAAAGTAACCTGTAAGGAATCAGTACTTGCAAGTATTTCATGCCATCACAGGACATTGCTGGATAAACACTGGAAAGGCCGAGCACTTAACTAATATTGATGTGTTTGTTTTTGTGCCTTTGTCTTCTTTACTGTCTACTTGATAAGGAAGAATCTGCCTTGTCATGTGCTGACGCATTTGTGGACTATAATTTCTAGATAAGTTTGCATGAAGATTTAGCTTGCTTCCAGATTATGTAGAACACCACTTATCCAAGTAATGTAAAGTCTTAATCAATGTCCACTTGCTCCTGGAAGTGTTTTTAAGGTAATATTGGAAATGCAAGATAATATGAGTTCACACAGAGAACTTTACATTCCTCTTGCTAAAGCATCTCTGTTCATCCTCTTTCAAGAGTACAAGAGGTCACGCCACGAGATCAAGAAGAAATCATCTGACACCATGAAACTGCAGAAGAAGGCTCGTAAAGGTAACAGTCAGCAGTCTGACAGTGAAGCTCAAACTCTTGGCACTTAGACAGAACAAACAGAAGGTCACTCAGATATTATCCGTTCTACTTGTGTCAGTGGTGTTTATGTGTTGTAGCTGCTATTTCTATGATCTTGCTTGTGACTGCTAATCAACGCCACCAACAAAATGAGCCAAAACATAGTAATTGTTTTACTTGTGGCCTATTTCTGATTGGCATCCATGATAAAAGTCACAAAGTGCAGCGATTACGTTAACTACCAACACACACAGAAGTATAACTAAAGACTTTATACAGTCTCGGGCAAAAAAAAAAAAAAAGTAAGTTTCTATTGCCATCTAGTGGTTTTCAATGGTACTGTAGGTCTTTTCTCATTCGTCCTGAATCACTTTACTGAGGGAGGCAGCAACCAATAATTGTTGCTTTCTTTCTTGAACAGCTTTCATTCAGTTGCCAGGCAGATGGTTTCAAAATACAAAATGTCTGTTAAACAATTTTCAAAATAATTTTAATAATAAATACAATTGCATTTTTTTTTACAATGCAATTTAAAGGCTTTTCTTCATTTTTTCTATTTTCTACATTATAGAACTAAAATGAAGACATGGCAATTATGAAATGACATATATAAAATAATGCACAATATATTTTAAAATGTTTGAAATGTCCTCAACACAGTCACTATTTGCTGTAACAAAAACTTTGCAAACTCTTGGCATTCTTTCGACCAGCTTCCTGAGGTCATCTCCTGGACCTTTTTTTTACGTATGTGCTGAACATTTGCTGGCTGCTTTTTCTTTCACTCAGGAAGCTATCTCATCCCAAACCATCTCAGATGGGTTTAGGTTGGATGATTGTGGAGGTTGGGTCATCTGATGCAGCACTCCATCACTCTGCTTCCAGATTTGAAAGCACTCATGCAGCCTCAGGATGTTTTGTGGGTTATGGTCCAGTTAAAAAACAAATTATCCTCCACAGCAGATGTAACTTTTGCTCTTCCTTTCCTGAGGCGCTCGTCATCAGAGCTAGTTTCATTGCACCATTGGATGTTTTTGCGACTGCACTTGAAGAAACTTGTGTCAGTGTGCTTGAAACTGACCGACCTTCAGGTCTTAAAGTTTTGCTGGACCGTCATTTATCTTTACTTAGCTGAGTGGTTCTTTCCTTAACATAGATTATGACAGTAGTAGACAGAGCTATTTGCTTGGGGGCACATTGGATTAAATAAGTATTTGTCCCTGTAGATGTCAAAAACGGAAACTGCTGTGTCTATTACAAACTGAAAAGTCCATAAGAATAAAACTTTTGTCAGTTTATGACTGCAATTAAATCATTTTGTACCTAGCTGCTGTCAGTGTGGTGGGTATGTCTGAATGAAGCTGTGAGAAACATAATGCTGACTTGCATTATTTGGTAAAGGAAACCCTAAGCCTGAGTACATATGTTTGGTCAGAGGGCATCCAAAGGCAACTTTGGATTGTTGAGTTCTCTGTTTAAAATAAAGTCTTCACCATACTATGTTAAGTGCTGTGAGATGACACATATTGTGAATTGCACTATATAAATGAAATCTAATTGAATGCTGTATGATATATATACAATTATGTTTTCTAAAACTCTGATCATGCAGCAAATGATATTAGGAATGAACAAAAAGTGTACATGTGTTTTTATATTCCAAAGTTTGGTAAAGTTTACAGTAAAACAGTGTGATGTCCTTTGCCACAATGTTATGTGTGTCTGGTTAGCCCTACTGCAGCTGAAGCTTGATGGTATTATTGTTTCTGGATTACATTTTTGGTTGCAGCAGTGTTATTTTGCTCTAACCTGTGGCACTGTGGCTGTCTTGTGATGGCTTCTTTGTACTAACCTTAACAATGAGTTCTGCTATTTCTCTCCCCCTCTCTTTCTTTGTTTTGCTTCTTTTTCGCTGTCTCCCCCTCCTCACTGCCACTGTCTCTCTGTCTCTCCCTCGCTGTGGTATTTGTCCCCCTGTAATAGAGATCCAGGGTAAGTATCAGCCTGTCGCTCTGCCGCATCACCTTCTTTCTTACTCAAATCCCCAACCTTTTCCTGTAGACAATGGGTATTACTATATTTTTGATATAAGGGTGATGGGAAGGTTTTTAGGTAAAATTAGGAAACTGGTTTACATAATAAATAGTCATGAAGCTAAACTTCAGGGAGAGAGAGGCTTGTCAGGGCTGGATTCACCTCTTTGTACATTAATTGCAGTAGTTAGTAACTAGTTTGTGGTAACTAGAAAAACCTACATTTATTTTGTAAAATACACTTTTTGAACACAACAAGAACAAAAATAATGAGAGCACAAGGACTCGAGCATTTCAGGTTGAGGCTGCTGCCATTTTATCTTAACCATGAAACACATACAGTATGTGGTTTTCCAAGACTCTAGGACTATATTATGTTGTGCCTGAATCATTCATTTTACTCACCTTGAATCCATTCTAGTCCTCAGAATAGTTTTTATCAGTCTCTGTATTAACAGAGATACCAGACAAATCCAGCATATGTAGGAGTGTGTTTTTGCAAAAAATATGCAGGTTGCAAAAAAACAGCACTATTGGGCCTCATTTTGTGCGACTCATACTATAAATTACAGCAATTAAAAGGATTAAGTATCATAATGTTTGCTTTCTACAGTGCTGGTGTTTCACTGTAGAGCAGCACTGGCTTTGATGTTGGAAGGTTTTCATGTCAGTTACTCAGAAAATGAAGACGTGCTTTGAGCAACTGATGATGAGAATTCTATTTAAAGGTTAAAATGTGCTTTTGTGGTAGATGCGCTTACAACATAATTAATCATTTTACCACAAACTAATTGCTACATGATGAACCCGGTGCTTCTGCGCCCACCGAATAGCTGCAGACTGTGCCCAGTGGGTAATCCAGCCTTACTTCCAATAGGCATATTCCACCATTTGTTTTGTTTTATAATACCAGACTGGAGGTCATGTAAGAGGTGCATCAATTAGAAAATATATGAAACCAGCTACCATGACTTTTAAGGACATGACATGAAATATCCCAGTTCTTAGACAAGCCTTAGCTAATGTTTTGTCTCCTGGTGACAGATTGAAGTTTTATTCAGTCTCAAGTTAGTTGTCGTGTCGTTTCACACTCGACAATGCATGATGTAGTCGAACTTCTTCCTTGACTCCTGCATGACTTTTGTAGCTGCTCCCATTAACTTTGTAGTGACACTGCAGGCTTTCATTCTACTCTCATGCTCCCCCTCCTGCCTTACTCTCTCTTTCATTCTATCCCTGATACTGCCGACATCTCCACTGACTTTCCGCATGCTGTAACACTACAAACAGTTATTTCATGTCTTGCTTTCTATTCATTGTTTCATGTTTTTACTAGATAGTTGGTAATATCTAGATTTTATACATGATATTTATGCATCTATGTTTTACCTTCTGTCATCATGTGATCGCTGTGCAGTTATAGCGAGTACAGTTTTTAAGACAGAAACACATTATCTGTGTTTTGGTTCTGTGCTGTCATTATGCTGGGTGGGGACTGACAGAAGGGAAAGAGAAGGGAAATTGGATGTAGTCACATATTGTGATCGGCTTTTTATGCATACTTTTAACCACATTCTTTGTCGACGCAAAGAGAGACCACAGAAAAGCAACAGTACTTAGTGAGACTACATGTTTACCTCAAAAGTGGCGACAGCAATGTAGCAACAGTTGCACAAAAGACACATGCTGTTGTATACATATACAAATACCCATTTGTTTGTAGGAATCGTCTTGCCGTTAAATTTCAATAGACATCATGGGTCTGTCTAATACAGTACATCATATAATATGACATTATATAACCTTCTTGTAGTGGACAGATTGCACAGAACCATTAAAATGAATACAGAGCTGAAACACTGAACAATGTTTATTTTGTCTTGTTCATTCTGAGTTGCATAATCTGTTCCAGTGGTTTGATGGAGCAGTGTATTAGAAAAAGCAAAGTCTGAAGGAGAGATATCCAAATTGTGTTATAATGTTGTTTTTTTTAATCAATGTAAACCCCTCTAAACACACTTTATATACACCTCCACCTCCTTCTTTTCATTCACATTCTCTGATGAAAGCTTCCACCTGCATCGTCTGTCTCGTTTTTTTAAAATGTCTCATCACGACTGTGCCTTTCCCATCCCAGGGCGAGGGGACCTGCAGCCCCAGCTTGACAGTGCCATGCAGGATGTGACCGACATGTGCCTGTTGATGGAGGAGACAGAGAAACAGGCAGTGCGCCGTGCCCTGGTGGAGGAGAGGGGTCGCTTTTGCACCTTCATTGGCTTCCTTCAGCCTGTTGTGGTAAGGACAATGGAAAGACAGGAGGAGGAGGGGCAGATGGGTAGACAGACAGAGGGCCATGCAAAGTTTAACCTGCTGCACCATTTATGATTTGAGCTGCTCTATAACAACATGGCTAACGATGATCATGCTGCAATTTAAGTGCCACAAGTATGTCTTAGTGTGACATGTACAAGCAAGTCTGTGGGAACAGCAAGAATCTATTTGGAACTCAATAACAAAAGAGACTGTCGAGAAGTACATAAAAACGATGCCAGCGAGAATGCAAGCTGTTATCAAGGCCAAAGGAGGCCAAACAACATGTTTTTGGCTTTGTGTGAAAAAGGACTATTTTGTTGTTTCACTGTGTTATTTGCCAAATAAATAGCAATGACATTTTTAGTTTTAAACAAGTTTTTAAAAGTAGTATTAGTGACACCTGTGGGAACTTGATAAAATTCTACACATTGATTTCATGTTTTTTTTTTTTGTTTGTTTGTTTTTTTAATTCAACTCTTAGTTCATTATTATTATTATTATTATTATTATTATTAATAATAATAATAATAATATTATTATTATTATTATTATTATTACATTCTAACTGTGCCATATTGCACAAAAGAGATTTTTGAGTTCTGTGTACTTTTAGCTACGATTGTGCTGGTTCCTTGATCCTTTGCTTGTGTGTTTTAGACTTTGAGGTGAAAGGGAAAAAAAAAAAAGCAGGGAAGACAGGAAGGTCAGGAGAATCATTTTTGTTAATCTTTTTTCAGAATGGAGAAATCGCCATGCTGGGCGAGATCACCCACCTCCAGGCCATCATTGATGACCTCACTGTGCTGACAACCGATCCTCACAAATTGCCTCCTGCTAGTGAACAGGTACAAAGTATGCACACCCGCAACTTAGAGATCACATAAAGAAATTAACCAATAACTAACAAACTCTATGGAACTGCCCCCTCAGGTGATTAAGGATCTGAAGGGGTCAGATTACAGCTGGTCCTATCAGACCCCTCCATCATCCCCCAGCAGCTCTGGCTCCCGCAAGAGCAGCATGTGCAGGTACTCACACACAAATACACACATGCACACAAAGACACAACGAGCACCTTCTGCCTGCTTTTCAGTGATTTTTATATTGATTATCCGAAAGAGGAGCCTTCCTTGATGTTTATGTTTCGCTGTGATTGTCAGTGTCTCAGTCCATCATTACTGCTTGTTCAGTCATCTTCAGTTCAGTAGAATCCCCAGATATTGAACCACAGCTTTAAGAGAGAAAACCTGCACTGAATAAAATAAAGATTAAAACAAAGAATTTTGGAATAAATGGATGTTTAAATGAATCTACATGATTTATCTTTAAGTGCATATATGCTCAAAACTAAAGTCTATGAAAAACAAAATAAACGCTACAAGAGGAATGCTACAAATGTATTTCTGTGGTTCTTTGTCTCGAAAAAATTCACTTATGTGTGTGAACCATTCTGTGTCAGAGGGTGCATGTTAAGCATGTGACTTTACAGTCTTTTGTCTGCAGTGTTTACTGTGTTTTTGTGTGTGGATGTGCCCTGGATCTTCATGAGTTTACACACTTTCTGTCTACTCCCTTCTGCCCCCTTCTCTCCTCCCCTGTTTCCTTCATCACAACTACCATACTGTGCACTTTGATCCTTCCTCTCTTGTCTGTCTTCTATTGTTTGTATCTTGTTTGTGTGCACTCATGTGATTTGCCCTCTTTCTCTTGCGCTGGGTGTTTGCTTTACCTGATTTCCTTTCATTTCCGGGGTCTCTATTTCTAACTGTGACTGCTGTGTGACTTTACTGCATCATCGCATTGTGGGCTTTCACTAACCTGATGAACCAACGACTTTTTGTGAACTACTCCTGAACTTCAACTCATCACCTAACTTTATCACTTTCAACGCTTCCTCCTGTCATCAATTATCTTTAACCGTCACCAACCCCTTATATCTTACACATTTTGTTATAACTCCTCAATCAAACCATCACTTTGACACATCCCTGTCATCATGCTGTCTCTCCCTAAATGCTCTTCTCTCCACACTGGAAATCATCACCTTCATCCTACCTTCACATTCCTCATGCCTCCATCACTCTGCCCTCCCCCTGCTCCTCTACACCTCTCTCTCCCCTCCTCCCCCCAACAGCAGTGTGAACAGCGCCCACAGTAGTGCCTCCCGTTCATCAGGGGGAGGTGGTAGTGTTGGTATTGGTGGCGGTGGTGGAGGCTCCCAGCCTCACTCACCCACCTCCTCCTCCTCCTCCTCCTATCACTACCGTAGCAGCCTGCCACACCAGCCTCCGCCACCGGGGGGCATCGCTGCCCACCGCCTCAGCAGCGTCTCATCCCATGATTCAGGCTTTGTGTCCCAGGATGCTAACATCTACTCCAAGCCTCCCTCGCCCATGCCCTCGGACATCACGAGTCAGGTACAGATGCCTTATGTACATACCTCTATGAGTTGGATTTATTGACATAAATTCACAAAGTTTGTGCAGTAATGAGGTTTAAAAGTTAGTGTCCAGCCATTGATTGATTATGAAACCTTGGCCCCTGTGTACAGAATTTAAAAAAATAAAAATAAGGCCCTAGACAGGTGAAATACACAGAGACTGACAGACACAGAACCAGCTGTTTGTAGTCGTTTCACATTTCCTTCAGTGACATCCTGCCGGTGAAGCAGAGCTGTCATCGCAGGAACCTGTGCACCTTTAATATTGAAATGAGATAAATAACAGATTGTATTACAGTGTCAGGTGTATAATCATAAAATACTCTCAAGATGCCACAGACCCCCTGAGCCCCTGAACAGTTTAGTAACCCTGCCATGCATCCAATCACACCACTGAATTAGAGTAAAGAAAATAACATTTCATTTTCTAAACTAGTTCTATTTAATTGGAAATCAGCCAGAATTATCTCATTTCCCAAGCATTTCAAGTTGCTTTACAGAAACAAAATGATAGATATTTGAGTTTCATACACAGCTGTGCAATTCACATGTGTGCAAAAGGGCTCTTGATCAGTATTACCTAATTGATAAAGAATTTTTTTTCTGTGTTTCTCTTTTTTTCCCTGCTGTAGAAATCATCCAGCTCAGCATCATCAGAGGCCTCAGAAACATGCCAGTCAGTCAGTGAATGCAGCTCCCCCACCACCGTAAGTATTTAAAATGTGCAACATGGAGTTCTAAACAATGTAGAACACAAAACCTAATTAGAGGTTAACAGAAATTAAAATGTACAAGGGTTATCAATTGATTTTTGTAATCAAGCTATTTAGTAATACATAAACACAATTGGAAAATTAGTTGATACTGAATGATGTTAACATTTGTACATTTAAACAGTCTGGGTGTAATTTGATTTTATTATAAAGTACATACAGGATCAGCAAGATAGAAGGACATGAGTAAAATTTAAGAATCCTATACCTAAAGATTATCCAAAAGTAACATCAGTAAACTGCACACAGCAGGCTCCTGTTTATTAGTCTGTGACATTAATGCTGTTAAGCAAATTGGTGACATCAGTCATCTCTAAATGGAATGTCTTCAACACCTCTGTTTTATTCTCTTGTTTTGATTTTGCACTCTTGGTTTGGGGTGTCCAAATACAAATCTGTCAAGTCTATCATTTGTGCAGAAAGATAAATTAATTAGCTGAAGTGAGAAAAGCAGCTCTGCTGACGCCTGACGTTGTGACTTCAAGGTTAATACCAGTTAATCCTCTATCTATCAATGTCCACAGAAAGTTTAAACTTGCTGATATCTATGCCACAGAAGATAGCACCATCTGTTCTGCAGTAAGTTTGCTCATCTACCCAAAAATCAGTCTCATAGGAGTTTCAGAAATCCATTAGTGGAGACAGTGTAGAAGGAAAAGAAAAAAAATCCTTTCTGGTAAAACTGAACTATTGTTAAAACAACTTTAGATATAGTGGTGGTATAAAGTCACTGTCAGAACAGAACTATATGACACATGCTGCTTTAAAGATAAATTCCATTCACCAAGGTAGCAGGACTTTTATAATAGTCTGATAGAATTAGGAACCAGCAGGAAACTTTGACTTCTAAATGCCGAGGTAAACCTGCAACATTAGTAGCTCTCTGGATATTTAATGGGCCTTCCAGCAGGGAATGCTTTTTGGTACTATCAATCAGCATCAAATCAAACACCATCAACTCAGGTAACAAGAGAACAGTGAGAAAAAACACCCCACAGATATGACACATTTGTTGAATTAATGTATTTTAATGCTTTTCAGATGAAAAAAATAAATAAAAACATGTTTATTGCAGCAATTAGTCTCAGAAGGCTCTATTTTTTTGCTGGAACACGGAGAGCAGTTGTCTCCTCCTAAGCATAAATCACCTACTCAGTTTAATAGCAAATGGAACATTGTTTTTTAGATTTACAGCCATTTGCATCTTCCCTCATGTCAGGTCCACCACTAAGGATGGAAAGCTTGTATTCTGTGGTTTTTGTGTCTCTTTAATTGATGGAGACACTCCCACATAAATCTCTCTGAAATCAGAAATTCCTTTCAGTTATGTTTGAGAGCTTTTCTCTTTCTCTTTCATCACACTTTCTTCGACCAGTATGCACATCTGTTTGCAGAAAAAAAAACACAATTCTATGACTCTCACAAGGCAAAATAAATATTCATTTCTTATTTTAAGCAGCATCTGTCATCTACAGCAGCTTGCATATATGACAGCCTTCCTTTTCAGTTGCAGTGAACACAGCCATCTGTGATCCCTCTCTAATTTGAGTGACAGTGTCAAGACGGATTATGCATCTCACTTCAACTGGTTGACAAAATTTGGCGCAACCACCATGAGGGAGCTGCAAAAAAATCATGCAAACTTTTGTTCTTCTGTACATCACACATTTTAGTTATATCTGGGTGGATTTATTTGAATTATCTGTAAATTTAGGGTGGTGACATCTTCAGGATGCATAAGAGACATATAGTGCTCCACGAAAAAATCCAAAATCAATTAAAAATGCAAGCACACAAATAAGAAACAATGTCATTAAAAGAAAACGTTAGTAAACTAATGAAAACTATCTGTCAATGTCCACAGAAAATTTGATCTTGTAGTTATGTTTGCCACAGAAGATGCTGCCATCGGTTTGCTCATCTATCCATAACTCAGTCTCTGAGTAGTTTCAATTTTAAAACTGTTTAATGGATTTCTGAGACTATTTTTACCAACTTAATACATTTGTGTTTTTTAACCGAAACATTTTCATTTTATTTCCAATGCAGTTTTCTGGTGACAGTGGAGAACAAAAAACTAAATTTCATTTTTGTAAAATGTGAACTATTGTTTGAGCATTCAAATGTAAAAACTAATGAATCAACAAAAACAATAGCAGCTGAAAGAAAAAGACAGATAGAAACAGACGGAAAGAAGAAAAGAACGTACAAACCTGAATTTCTGTAAGACTTAAGACTGTTCTGCAGGCTATTGTGGGTTGTCGGTGCAACTGGATTCTCTAATTCAACTTCAGCTGAAAACAGCCTATGAGCTGGTATTTAGACTGCTAAATCTTGTGCCTGTATTCATAAAACACCACAAGTATACCACCTCTTCTTTAGCACATTTAAAACACACTTTACTCTCTGCACCTTGTTTTATAAATGTACTGTTCCCAGTAACAGCCTCCACCAGAGCTGTCTCACCTATCTCTGTACCACCTATACTGTCCTCACCTCCATGGGATCTATACACGATTCCCTCACACCAACTGGATGAGACAGTTTTACACCAGCACATTAGAAGCAAGGATGTGAAAAACAGAAATAAAGTTATCACGTACAAAAGATAAAAAGCTACTCCCGGGTATATTTTCTTCAATCAAGCAGAGTTACTACATCACACGAACTGTCAAATCAAATCAGTCTGAATTTTAAATTCACGATCGGGTCTGCTTTAACTCATCCCATGATCTTTCTAACAAACATTCCAAGTAGCTGTTAAATAGAGGCTTTCTAGATACACTGACTTAGTTCTCACACTAATCACTCTTAGTTTGCGTTGTGTCATTGTGATTAGCAGTGACTAATTGTGTTTTGGAGGCTCTGTCTTTCGTCAGATCTTCTTCCTTTCTGTTCCTGCTCCTCAGTTTCAAAATGAGAACTTGGTGTGTGTCTATTGTAGGTGTGTGTTTACATTGTGTGCTTTTATTCTCATGTGTTTGGCCACGTGATCCCATAGCTGGCTGCCTCTCTCTCTGTGGCTTTTCCATTCTCTGATGACGTGACTATGTCTCTTGTCCCGCAGTTTGGCTCGTCCTTTGCTACCTTCCGCCCCGCTCTTTCTCACTCTGGCTCCACCCGGCCTCTCTCTGTCATTCTTCCTGTACCTGCGTCCCCACCCTATAAACGCCCCCCTGGATCCAGCTCCTCCTCTCCCACATCAAAGGTTCCTATGTGGAAGGTTTGTTCTCCATTGGCTTCCATTTCTTCAGTTGCACCTTTTCTTCTGTTCCTGTTTAATAAGTTCCAGTTAATGCATCAGGTTTATTTTTCTTTTAATTTTCATCACCTGATTAACTCATCCATAACCACATTGCATTGCTTCCTTAAAATTTGCATCCCTCTTTCTGTGTGTGCATGCATTTTTTGTTTATTTTTTGGCTTCCCCTGATTCACTGGTTTTGCAATCTGCCAACTGGTGATTGGCCAAAACTGTGAAGGGTCGAAGTCATCATCATCATAAACACGTTCAAACGCTCAGAAAGGCCCCTGCCCACACACACTGACTTACACACGCTCTTCCAAGCACCGAGAAAGTTCCCCTCTCTGTGCAATCAGATGAAGGGCTTCAAACTGCTGGATAGTGGACAGGTCTCGTGCTAATCCTACCAGTTTCTTCCTGTTTATTAATTCCACTCACCTCTTCAGGATTGGTCCAAAGCAGGTCAGTATGAGCAGCCCGTTGCTGCAGCGGCAGTCCAGAGGAGAAAGGAACCTCTTGACAGGCTGAGAGAGAATGAAGCGTCGCCAGGCTCCCAAGGCTACGCTGGGACATCACACCCTGATGACGGGCAGAGAACCAGGATGACACCGGCTACTATCGCTGCCAAGGTACTGCTAGACTGACAAGCAGGCTGAGAGCAGCACATTTGTGAGAGCGTGGTACAGCAATGCATGATTATATATAAAGTACAGCTTATGCAGTCGTATGCTCTGCTACTCACTGTAGTCAATTGCTGTTACAGCAATACATCTTCCAACTATTGTCGAATAAGTCTGATAAGCTGAGGAATCAGTCAAATTATAAGTTGATAAAGAAGAAATAATACAAACATAGATTCTTCTGGTGAGTTTTACACTCTGTGCTTCTCTTGGAGGAAAAAAGTGTGCCCTCATCTACTGTAGATGTGGCATAAAAAGTACAATTACAGACTCCCTGGTGCACAGTTATAGATTTTTTATTTTTTTAAATTAAAAAAACGTTAATAATTATGACCAAAAACAAAGTCTAATTACACATCTCTGTTTAAAGGTGAACGCAATACACACATGCAAACTCTCAGTCGACCAGTAACGACAGGTTTAGCAAAGATACAATTACACACTAACTATGCCAACCACGAGAGGAGACATCTTGGTTATACAGTATGAAGATATACAACAATTAAAAGCCACCATAGCCAGTTAAATAACTACATCACATTAATTCTATTCATTCTACTCTGTTTGATGTGCTTGCATATACAGTACTCCGTGTGTTTTGCTAATCCAGAGGATTGTTCATTTTTAAAAATAGGTAATGTTTAATAAAAATGTTTTCAAGGAGAAATCAGGCTCACTGTGAATGAAAGGGAAACACTGTTTTGTGCTTTTTTTTCTCCTATTCATTACTTTGTTTTTATTTGCAATAACAGACAATAGCAGTATGTAAACCAGAACAGATGATGTGGATATCTGTTTTGCAGCTGTGACAAAATGCAAATTTTAAGAACTTCAGTATTTGTCTCAGTATTATTTTTGGAGTGACAGACAGCACTTTCATGTGCATTTCAGTGTATTTGTCCTTGTCTCCAACATTATGCCACTTTATTGCTATTAACAACTAAATATAACCATAAATATGATCAGTAAATATATCCTATTCACATAAAAAAGAGAAACTCAAGTTTTCAAGCAACCAGTTGATCAAACATCATTCCAATACTAGTCTTCCCCTGTGTGTCTACAGCATGGAGAGGAGGTCTCTCCAGCAGCCAGTGACCTGGCCATGGTGCTGACCAGGGGACTGAGTATGGAGCAGCAGAAAAGCAGCAGAGACTCTCTTCAGTACTCCAGTGGATATAGCACAGAGACCACAACCCCATCCTGCTCTGAGGACACAATTCCTTCACAAGGTGAAATTCCTATCTGCTATTCTGTTCACTGCAGTTTTTAGTGTTGTTCAGCTGGGGCCCCTGTATTTATTACATTTCACCTGGTCGCATTCATCATCTTATTGTTGGCAACATTTCACGAAAAGCAATGGATTAAGGGAAGCCATTATTTTTTTAATCAGTAGTCTCTCTGCAGAGATTTTTACTTTGTTGTCATCACTTCCACTCGCACTGCTTTCTTTAATGTGTAGTGTTACCCAAATCTGATAAAGCGAATTATCCATTTATTCACTGAGGCAGCAGTGACAGTTTATGACAGACGTATTTTGACAGCTTTCTTGACAGCAGCTGGAGGATGACAATATAAAGATAAAACTGAAAAATATTAATGTGTTCCTGCATAAGTATGCTGCCTCTCAGATGATGGTTTGCTCTACCCAAATAATGAAACTATTCCTGTGTCATCCATTATAGTGATCACAGTATATTTTCTTAACTCTCTTCCCTTTGTTAGCTGTCTTTATTGCAATTCACTTTCAGTCACTTTTATAAAATGTCACATCTGTTTTTCTACCCTCCTTATTCTCACATTAGGTTCAGATTATGACTGCTACTCAGTGAACGGGGATGCTGAAGGTCCAGATGGACAAACAGAGTTTGACAAGTCCTCCACTATTCCTCGCCACTCTAACATTGCCCAAAACTACAGGCGCATGATCCAGACCAAGAGGCCAGCCAGCACAGCCGGACTGCCCAGTGGGGTTCTTGGTCCTGGGGCTCATGGGATACCGGGACAACCGGGTGGATCTGGTGGAGGTGGATCAGGGACTCCAGGCACTGCCACCATCCGCCGAACCCCATCTACAAAACCAGGAGTAAGACGCACATTGTCCAATGCAGGGCCCATCCCTATCCGACCACCCATTGTGCCTGTCAAGACACCCACAGTTCCCGGAGACTCACACTCTCCTGGGTATGCAGGTGGAGGACACGCAGGGGGCGTGCCTGTCCGTGTAGGCAGTGAGGAGTGCGTGTTCTTTGCTGGAGTCGAGGATGCACAGGGAGCGCTTGATTTTGTGAAGGCATCACCAAAGCGCCTCAGCCTGCCTAACACCGCCTGGGGATCAGGGGCCGCTTTAGAGGTCTATGCCCAGCAGCACGGGGGCCTTGCAATGGGAGCAGGCTCAGGAGCCGGATCAGAGGAGGATCAGATGATCGCGGCCAATCGGCACAGCCTAGTGGAGAAGATTGGTGAGTTAGTAGCCAGTGCACACGCTCTTGGAGAGGGGCAGTTTCCTTTCCCCGCCCTTCCAGATGACCCAGCCCCACCACCAACTGGCCCCACTGACTCTCAGACAGGGACAGAGGGCGCAGAGGGGTCTGGTGACATGCTGACCACCATCAGGAGAGGAGTCCGCCTCCGCAAGACCGTCTCTAATGACCGTTCAGCTCCACGCATATTGTGAATGGGGGAGAAGCAGAAAGAGGATGATGCTTGTCAGCCAATAGGGAGTCAGGTGTTGGTGTGGTGCAACCCAACCGCCTAGTACATACACAAAAACTTAACCATGTAGGGAAAGCTATAATATAACAGAAGATGAATGAAAACAAAAACATACACAAAAAAGATGTTTAAAGACACCATTAGAGTAAATGATATATAATATAATGATGATAATAATAACATTAATAATGTTAACCCATGCTGACAATTAAAAGTAATACTGAATATTGACAGGCTCCTAGCAGGCCACTATAACTAGTGTGTGTTGGACGCATGTTTGTCTTCTATACACCCTCACCCAGGGATGGAAAGATTTGCAGGAAAAACAGATAATATAAAAAAAAAAAAAAGAGGCAAAGAAATCGAGAAACACTGGGTTCTGTTCTGTTTGCCAACTTACACCCTTCCCTATCCTCTTCTCCAACTAACCCGACTGTCTGATCCCAGATGAAAGACTGATGACTTAAGGAGGTGCTGGTGGCGGTGGGCGGTGGGGGGGTGGTCAGAGTGCCATGTGACCAGCTGGATTTGAACCCAGGCTGTCTCCGCAGCAACACACTGTACTTATTCGCCCACTGAACTGAAGCTTTGGTATTAGCACGGGGAGCTAACAAGCCAGAGGGCGTCTCTGGTTCATCCTAATGTAAAAGAGTCTTTAAAAAAAGTACTGTTGGCATTGAACCGTGCTAGTGCCCCCTTCCCCTCTCTCTCTCTCTCTGCATAGTGTGCGTGTGCATTCATGTGTATGCATGTGGGCAAATGTAAAATGTGAGCGTGTGGGTCCATGTGATTGATTGTGTGTGTATGTGTGCGAGGGGGGTGGGTAGAGCTCTGCTGCAGGACAGCTGGTTACCCAATGAGGGCAGGGCTTTTCTGCTGTGTGTTGTGCGTGTATTTTCTTGTTTATATTGTGACGTCATTTACCTTGTTACCACTGTACGAGAAGTTACGAGACGTAATCCAGGCGTATAGATATATTCATATATATTTTCTAGAACCAGAGAGAAAATGTAAAATCAGAAATGGAGCAATAAATGTGTTTTATTTTCTTGTTTCGAAGAAGCGGATTGATGGAGGATTGTAGGTTCTCCTTTGTCTCATTCAGGCAATCATCAGGAATGCTAAATTACACATCGACTGTGAATTCATGCCTAGCCGGTTTCGGCGTGTGTCTCTCTCTGTCCCTGTCTCTTTCTGGTGAATGGATTACAAAAATTTGAGGAAAAAAAAAAAAAAAAAAAGGAAAACTGTAAGCACTTTGATAGGGGGTAGAGTATGTACAATAGCCAGTAGATGTTGCTGTAGTAATACGGTATGATAGGGAGAGTGAAGGTGAGAGAGACAGCTGCCTGAGACTGTGTCCTGAGGAAATTATTTTATTTGCGAAAGAGGAAGAAGAAGATGGGGAGGGACAAAGAGGAAGTGATAAAGGCTGTTAGAACTGTAGTGAGGGGTCAAATGAGAGGTGGAATACGAAAGTAGAGCAAACTATTTATCTGAAAATGAGTTGGGTGTCAGGGCTCTACAAGCCATGGCCTGCTGTGCTGTGGAGTGTGAATAGCACTGAAGCTTTTTATGATGTGTTTGCACTGATATCTGAAGGACTGAACACACAATGCAAAAATACCCCGCACCAATAGGTCAGACTACTTCTTGATACATGCTTCAAAAGGTGTTTCATTCAAAAGGCAAATTAAACACATTCTTTCACCATACATGCAAATACTTTTCGTTTTATTTGCCCAACTTAAAATATGTGTCTCTGAGATTTCTGCTTTAACGTCAGAACAATGGAGGTTAATATAATAGACCTTCAAAAACTGCTGAGCACATTTTATGGATGGCAGAGAGTAATAGGGAAGCTGTTACAGCAAAGACACATTGCTGGTGGATTCCACAATTTCCATTTTTCAATACCGTGATTGCAACAAATGGAATTCTATTCACCTCTGCTGTATTGGGCTGGAGGCAGAAATTTCATAACCTGCAAAAAAAAAAATATAACCAAAACTTTTAAAATAGCTAGCTCTGTAGAGGTACAGCATGTGATAAACTATGTTCAGTTGTCATTTATGATACTCAACTTACATTTGAGTGGCATTAAAGTTTTTTTTGTTTTTTTTTTTAATGGTGCAGGATTTTATTTTCCAATTACCCAAATTCTGTATGTTACTTTGTAATCTTCACTGATGTTCATTTGCAAGAAAAAAGCAGACCATCCTCTCTAAAAGTACAGTCTTACCTATAAATACTGTACAGTTTTGCATTATAGGCAAGCAAATCTGATCTGAACTGTGGTTGCTTGTCTTATATTAACTCTTGGTAAACATATATATTTTTTCATTTAAAATGACACCATACTGAAAACAGCACAGACAGAAAACAAATAATAAAACACATGGAGAGAACAGTGTTGGGCAGAAGAAGCACATTGTTTAGTAATACTTTTTAAGTGAAGAGTAAGGGATTTAGCCATTGCCTCACAGTTACTAATCAACAATTTGGAAGTCGACATGTTTGCAGTATTAGCAGAAGTTGACATCAAGGAGGTGTGAGAAGGTGGATAGTCTGCCCCACGTGGTGACTCTGCAGTTGTCTTATATTCTCTTCTTAGTTCCTTCAGTCTACCAATGTGTCTATCCTGCACCATTAATCCAGGCTAAGTACAAAAAAGACAGTAACAAGTAATGTAACTACCCACTGCTGATTAATGTGTGATTGATAACTTACTGCAGTTTTCAAGTAATTTGCCCAACACTGGTTGTAAATGAGCAGTGTCACGTTAAAAAATAACCAGTCATCTTTGAATTAATCTATTTCCAATCATCGGTTTATTTTATTTATTGTAGTGTGAACACAATATTGCTGCCTAAAGAATAAAATAATAATCACCAGGCCACCCCAGCACAGTGCCGCTCAGTTCAGTGCAGATATCCCAGTTCAGTGCAGGACACAGTGCAGGCTGTATGAAAGGATTATTTATGAACACTAAGATGTGAGGAAGGGTGAAGCCGGTTTGATGTGCTCACTGATGACAATGCAAGAAAATTTGAATCAGACTTCAGAAGTTGGCAGAGAGAGGAAAAGATGTGTGGAATGAGCATTTCACTGCCTGTTCATACAATATGTACTGTATGTGCTGTACTTGTAAAAGAGAATCAGGCGCACAGATTTGGTATAAAGGTTTGTTAGAAAATATTACATGAAATTTTTCTTTTTCTTTTTTTTTCCCTTCTACAGTACTGTTTGAATATTTAGTCTTACTTTTAATTAATGTAAAAAGATTTTTAAAAAAAGTCCAGTTGTAACACAAACTACTAAGCTGTGTAACATATGGATATAGGATGTGTGGGCCGAGAGTGAGTGTGTCTTTGTTTGGCTGTTGATCTGTAGGCTAGTGAACTCTTCATCAACATGTCTGTACGCTCTTCTAGCAGTGACTTGAACATAGCCAGTGACATCAGCTCTCTTATATGCTCTTTTTGTCAACTTATTTATTTATTTTTTGACTTGAATAGAGCATTGTTTTAAACATATTTTTGGCTGTTTAAAGAGAACATTAGGATTATTTAATTTTAAACGATAGAGAGGAGAATTTTTGCGTTTTTTGTTTTTTTTGTTTTTTTTAACAATGTCACCCTCTGTGAGCACAATTTTTTTTGTTGAACCTTGTTAGAGTGGCTCAGCAAGGGGCTGTCTCATTTTTATGTCTAGGGGGATACTACTGTGTGTGTGTGTGTTGTCACATGCGGATGCTTTGTGCTGAATCTGACTGGATGAGAGGGTGGAAGGGGAGAGCAGCGGGCTTGGACTCCATTCCCAAAAAAAAAACATATTTTGGGTGAGAAAATGTTCATTTGAAGAGTTTGTCTAAGACCACCTGTCAAGGTCACACTGTTCATGATTCTACATACATATGCTGAATGTACTGCAAGGTGAAGGTGGACATCCAACTGTACATGTTAGATTTGCTTGAACTATTGCAATGTCAAAACTTTGTTCTCGTACAACTGAATGAAGTTTCCAGTTTAAACTGTAGGAAAGCAATACTGGGGTAGTGTGCATGTACGTACATTCACAATGATGTTCCATTGTGGGTATTATAAAGGAAAATACCACTGTTTTGTCTGCTGTAGGATAGTTCTCCATCTTAAAGCTGGTCCACATTTCACAGCTCAGATGGTGTCATTTGGAGTTCAGAGATCTGTATAGCTAGAGCCACTTCCACCAGTCTTAATGTGTATGTGCTGCATTTTATTGACTCCAGAGCAAATGAAAACAACTGAATTCACTGCCAGTTATTTACAGTAAGTGAATGCTTGAATGAAGGGTTAATAATGCCCTGCAGAACAGACACTGCTGCTTAATTCCAGACGATGGATAACAACTCAGGACTAGACAATGATTCTAAAGTTGTAGGCTTTTCATGTTGAATGACATCTAGTTAGTGTGAACAACCTTAACTGCACATGCCCTGTCATGCAAGAGGATGAATGGCTATAGGATGAGTGTTACACTATTTTCCTTTAAAATACCCAGTTAACAGCACAAAAAAATCTAACTAACCAATGTTTTTTTTTTTTTAACATGCTGAATTAACTGTGTACTAAACTAACTGTCTGAACAAGCTGAAATAACTTCTCTGCTACAGTGTCAATATGTCCATTTTATGAGTGTATATGTATGTGTTTAAAAGTAGGCCAGCAAGCAGGGACAGCTGGCTTCTGTAGGAACATACACAGGCACATAGACAGATTTACATGCGTGCAGGCATGCGTGCATACACAAAAACACACACATGCACTTATACATAGGATACACACCAAACAACTCCTTCTTCCTCAACTGCAAAGTCCTCACTATGGCTTGGAGTGGATCAAACATAGTAGAAAGTGACAATAATTTTATAATTTGATCGAATCAAAGAGTTAAAAACTGAACTTTCAGTGACATGACTACATTTTCTTTTTGCTGTTAGACTTCTTGTTGCCAAGCAAGGCTGGTGTATGAGCGAGACAACATCTTCAATAAAACACAAATAGAACATAGCACATTTCTTTCATGATGCTAGGTATCTATCTATGATTAATATGAACTTACACAGACTATCAAATTTTAAAGGAATAGTTTGACATTTTGGGAAATGCTCTTGTTCATGCTCTCACTGAGACTTAGATAAGCATATTGATGTGACTTATCTTTACTATAAAACTTGGAGGCAATGGGAAACCCAAATCTTGCACCTCTAAAGTTTATTACCGCCCTTTACGTTGTTTATTTACATTGGATTTTCTACAAATTAAAGTCTAAAAATGGCAAGCAGTGGTTTAACTGGGGGTAATGGAGCCAGGCAATGAAAAGACTCGGAAAAAACAAGAAACGTTTTCAAAATCTTGAGCTATTCCTTTAATTTTTACTTAATTTATGAAAACTGCCAGTTAAGCAGCTATGTAATTTGCCTTTTAACACTCTGACCAACTGGCAAAATTAATTTGCATATTGCTCTAACGCATTTTTTATTTTTTTTTTACACTTCTGTATCCCTCTCTTCCTTTAATTCTTTATTATCTCCTTTCTTTTCTTAAATTGCCCCTCTGCCTCCATTCACTTCCACTGATCGTACGCCCAGTGGTACTGTGTAGCTGACAAAATGGAAAACAATGCTTATCATGATGTGAGTACCACTGGCTGGTCTCTCTCTGTGCCTCGCAGCCCATCAAAGCTATTGAAAAATAATTCTGACGAAGTCTTTCTCTCTCTCTCTCTTTTTTTTTTTAACCCCAGTCATCAGTGAACACACACTCAGCTCTGGTTATGATTAGGCTCCTCTTCATTCTCTTCCCTCCCCTCTCTCTGTGTGTCAGTACACTGTGTGTGTGAAACAGTCTAAATGTGTGTGTGTGCTATGGGTGGTATCACTTTAGGTCCTGGGCGGATTGTTCAAAGGGTTGGGATAGTTAGCTAGGGTAAACTTCCCCCTCGTGTACACAGTAACACGAGCTGGGTTCAAGGCAAGCAGATGGATGCCGAACGCTTCATCTCAATGCTAGATTACATTTTAATTAATTCTGATCAGATTTTTGAGACATCTCTTTGGCATCATCTCAAAGACTGCTTGTATTACTTTGATAGTTTTTCAGTGAGCTGTCAAAGAAACCTTCAAGATTCAAGTACCAGTGGGCCTTTTTTTTTTGCCCCTGCAATAAACCTGATGATCTATAGGATCTTTAAAATACTATAAGTAGATTGTTAGAAAGGACTGGTATTTACATTGAAGTCTTTTAAGTATAGCAGTGATTAATAACCACCTTAAAGTTTTGTTGTAACCCTGGATAACGAATTATAATTACAAGTTGAGATCTTATAAGTCCAAGGTTGTTAATTTTGTCCTCAGGGAGATGTTACTGACTGAATTTGGGCTGTTTTTTTTCAGCTGGAAATCAAAAAAAAATT